AAATGAATACGAGGAGATTCCACTCCTATTTTAAAATTTGACAAAATACAGCATTTACAGTAATATGTTAGGATAACAAAAATAAACAATGTAGGTATGCAGTGATCTTTATGCCATTCAATTTGCCTGCATGGATTGGATGCCAACAAACAGATGTCTCCAACCAGTGCTCCTACTGGCACTCCCACTGAACAAAAATGGTCCCCCAAGGTCAGGATTATCTAACTTCACCACAGCAGTGTGGGAAAGCCAGCAACACTGCTGGCTGTACCGCATGCCTTCTCTTAGTCATCTTTTGTCTGTCAATCAGTTCTTTCAGTCCTCTTTGAAAATGCCACCAACCTGTATCCAAACACAGCGCGAGATACACTGCAAATACTGTATTTCATGTTATTCTTGGACCACATAGCACACATGCACGCAGCCTTCAATTAATATATACTCTGTTATCTTTTTTAACATCTTTTCATGATATATTATTACTGTTTATTCTCAAATTAGAAAACTAAGCTATTTGGGAAAACTGAATTCAATTGTTAATTTGATACATTTGCAATGATAGTTTGCACAAATCTTTTTTCCTCTAACAGTTTCTTAATAAGACATGAAAAGAATAAGGCTACACTGAACTACCTTTCTACACACATTCGTCCTTAAGTGGCACAAAATTATGTCAGAAGAAAGACAAATACCCCCTAAACAACCAAACAAAAACATTAAAGTTCTCCAGGACTGTGGTAGTACTGAAAACAGACATTAGAGAGGTGGGGAGAAAGTATGAAACATTGAAAAAAGTAATCAATGATACCAACATATATATGAGGACATAACTTTTGACAGCGTTTCTGAAGTATCACTGCAAAAATGTGAATTTTGTTACTTGATGTACCTCCTTTTTCTGCTTCTAAAAAACAAGAATCAAAACAGTAATTTAAGAGCATTTAGTTCATGCATAAATATTTTCGGTATCTTTGATGTAGAAACCTATTTTACTGTTTGCTTGAGACTGAAAAAAGTTTTAAATAGTCTATCAAATATAACAGAGGACGTAAACGCAAAGTCAGTTTTGTTAGTGTCTTCAGAGAGTGAAAAAAGAGTGCTTTGAAGCTTTCACTTTTTCAGGTAGAAAATAACGTTGACTGTCAGTTGTGTTAATGGAGAGAAAATTTCTAATTGTCCTCAACCCTGCCAAAGCGTTGTGTTTTTTGTTTTTGAGATTTTTTAAAGATGCAAGAACCATCACGTTTCTAGCACATACGTAATTAATTTTTAAGAGCCAGTTTAATTAACTGGTTTTACTGAAGTCAAAATTTTAGTGAAAAGATTTGTGCAGTATTTATAGTTGAGCTTCAGTCTCCCACGTGGTTAACAATTAGGGTCACTGCTAATTGCAATGACTTGAAACCTAAAACTTATTTTAGAAAACATGCCCTGAACACAGTGGGAGTTACTAAAGAGTAGTTTTAAAGCCTAAAAATACAAGCCATTTCTTTTATGGCGTGCCATGGATCTGCAAAACAGTGTCTGGGAGTATCAGAAGGTGATTTCACTGTCCAAAGATGCTCACAATCTTAAAGAGGGCAGGCAAACAAAACCAGAAGGGATTTTAATGTCTCTCAGAGAACGGGTAACAAAGCTGGAGCTTTTGCTGCCTCCTTCTTTGTTTAAAAAATAACAGCTAGGAAATGTTATCTCCTGGAAGGAGATACAAAGATGAGAATATAAGGAAAAGATAGGAATGCATAAGGCCTGGATAATGCTACAGTGCAGTGCTGCAGAGTAGCACCGCAAGATGCGTATGATAAAATTAGCACTGAAGCATGAGCCTAAGCAGAGCTATACAGCTCAAGGAAGGTAAAACCTCCATTCTGACTATCAAAGACAGGTTTGAGACAAAAAAATAAAAAAAGAATTAAAAAGTTCAGCAAGCTTAAAAATCACATACTGTTAGGAACAGATTCCCTAAAGTGTACTAAACAATAATCAAGTACGAATAAAGTAATCTGCTATATATACAACATGGAGAAATTTGAGTAGAGTGAAAAATAGGACCAACTCAAAGGGGATGACTTTCTCCAAAGACACACAGCTAGCAATCTTCATTGAAATAGCTATCAACACAGCTGCAGCTTTACTGAGGCAGACACAAAAAACCCCTCATATGGCAAAATGAGTTACACTCCTGACAAAATATCCCAACTGACAGGCTATCAGGACAGACAGTAGAAAACCCTAAGTTCCATGCCTTCCTCTCAAACTTAACACAAACTTTGTGAGAGAAAGGCACACAACACATGTTTTCTTAAATTTAAATTAATGTTGTTACATTTTAAGAAATCTCTCTAATGAAGTGCTTTATAATGCATAAGAAACAAGTTCATCCATGTCTTGTATCTGCTTTGTGGTACTTACTTCATTAATTACTATTTGTCAAAATTCATTACTTTTTTCTAGTAATCCTAACCATACTCTTGACAAAACATTAAATATATCTCTTTCACAGCACTCTACAGCATTGCTGGGAAAGCGGTAGATGTGAACCTTGAATTTAGCAAGGCTTTCAACATTGTCTCCCCTAACATTCTCATAGACAAACTGATGAAGTCCGGACCGTGTAAGCAGACAGCACAGAGGACTGAAAATTGGCTGAGCTGTAGGGATCAAACATTTGCAACTACTTGCATGAAATCTCATTGGAGACCAGTCACTAGTGGTGCGCTCCAGGGGGCGATACCCAAGTCAGGAGAGAGCTGCAGTATTACTGCTACTGCCCATAAATTACAAAGGTGGATACCCCATTTTCCCACTGTTTCTACCTAACGCCAAGACCTAGATAATTAAATTGTCTTGTTGAAAGAAGAAAGTGCTGCATGCATCCAGGCTACTACACTGCCCATATCACAAGACATCAGCTACAACCTTATCAAGTTAATACAGCATGCATATACACAAGTTACATGGTTAAAAAGATCGCTTACAGAGCTTTACACATACTGCCTGTAGGGATTTCACTGTAATGGGAATTCTGCATTTTGCTTTAAGAAGCACTAAATACACAGCAAAAGGTGACAAGAAAGTGTGAGAATGAGAAGACTGAATAACTGCCAATATAACCCTCAAGAATACATAAAAAATGCTGGACAAAAATGAAGAATCTCTGTATTACAGGTAGTTGTTAACGATGCAAGATCCTAATAACGTAAGTACAGAAAAGCATATATATTACGTATACGAAACCTATACAGAAAAAAAAAAAAAAGGTTTTCTGCTTCCAGCAGAATCCATAAATGAATTGATCTGTTTAAGTACAAATTTTCTATTATTCAAAAGTAAAATTAAACTGACAGTTAGGAGCTATGAACACAAGCACCTTTCTTCACACTTTATAACCAATGGGGAAAGATGAAATAGATGAGTAAATCTTTCTCATACGTATCACTGAAAACAATTCTACCACAGTAGAACAACTTGGAGGCCCCGAAAATGACAGAGAAGTATGGTTTTAAGGTATTTTCTTACAGGAAAATCCATTTCAATTGTCGTCCGCTAGCATTTTTATGGTCTTTCCCCCCTAAGAATCTTCATTTTCTCATTGCTTTCATTGACTGCTGAAAGGCCATTAAAACACACCTCTTTTTTACTATACTTCCCTGGCATAAATAATAGCCTGTACCTGAAGACTGTCTTGAAGTATTAGTCAGGTTTGGAAACAACTACATTGGGAGCACACATAAACAGCTGTAACATATACCTATGTTTGTTCATGCTATTTAAGAAGTCTCCATCAACACATTTATTTGTGCTTCTTCATAAAGTAAAATTCAAGAGAATAAAATGTACTGGTTTGAGCAATATTAGGTACAGCCATTTAAAACAACTTAGAGTATGTGTTAATATTCTTTAAAGGGTTACTCCACTTAGTTTAAAATATTCACAATATGTAAGACAGCACATGTATTCTGTTTCTGTAAGACTTACTCTGGAAACAATAAGAATCTGCTGTGCAATAGACAAATATTTTTATGGCTCTGAGCTCTTTTGTTAACGCAGAAAATGAAAATACAGAAGTTAATTGTTGTATGGCCATTTGCGTTGTGAATTAATGACTAAGGGCAATTCTGAGACTAGTGATCAATCTTTTAGATCATGCTAAGGACTCTTTCCACTGCTACTCAGAAAAGTAGCACTACTTTGCGAAGAAAATTGCCTTTAGGAGACAGTTGTATATAATTATAGAGACTATTCCTATCTTTACTATCCACACTTTAAATCTCTATTACCTGTTTTTAGTTCATTATATATTCCACCTTCCCCCTGGACTTTTTACTCTTCTCAAGGATACAAACAAAACCACTTCAAAACGAAAGTTCCAACTTTCTGTCTTATCTTATAGGTGCCCAAAAAAGACAGAGGCATGGAATTATCAATTTTATTATTAAATATTATGATTAGCAACGCAAAAGATATTATTAGCAAAGTAAGTATCACAAAAATGCATTTCATTGCTTACCTTTTTCTCAAAATCTTTGACCACAAAATGTCTTTAGAAACAACCCCCTGAAACCAGATTAAACACAACTGCAAATAGGCTACCGAGCACTACAGGTCTTAAGTAAACTGCTTTTCTTATTACTGTTTTCTTATATCAACACATATGCTTTTAAAAATATGATTTTTTTGGTTTTCAGTGTCTGTATTTAAGATACTTCAGTAAGTATTAAATATTATCAAAATATTAAATTAAGAAAAGCTGGTAATCTCATACTGGTTTAGGAATTTACAGCACTAATAAATAAGTGTGCAGCTTAAAGAAAAAAAAGCATTACAAGGGAACATATACCAGTATTAGACTGTATCACACTGCACTTTATAAACAATATCACATATATTTCAACCAGGACACTCCCTGAAAGAGCACAGCAAAATCTATAAAGGCAGACAAAAATCCTCATGGAATTTATTAGCCTACAGAGAGTGAAGAAATGAAGAAAGAAACTTACCACTTTTAGTAGTGAAAGAATACAGAGGATTCAGTGGAGTGCTCAGAGTGCCTGGCAGTCTTAGCCTGGAGTGTGGTGACAGCGATGATGGCGCAGGAAGCAAGAGATTTGAGCTCGCCTGTAATAGGAAAGACAAATCAGAAAGTGAAGTGTAATTTCCTGGGTTACTTACTGATGCAACAGCTAGAAGAGAAATATTTGATTACTGTAAATAACAATTATATTCCAGGAAAATAATTAAGACTTAAGTCAACAATAAATAACAATTTCAATGGATGACATTTTTATGTGGCTATAAACTGATAAACGTAAAATAACTTCTCATTTTTGAGTACTCAAACTACATCTATGAAGAGATTACTCAATATTATGAGAGAAAAAAAGTATCTTAAAACACTCCTAACACAAAACTGATTTCTGCAAATCAATAAATCATACTTGGACCAAGACACCAGACACTTTATATAAGCTAAACAAAAAAATATCTGCAGTCCTAATTTCCATAGCAACAAAGATAATGTAGTTAAAATTTGGTTTGCTATGGAGTTTCTTGATATACATGCAGCTATTACAAAGCAGCTACTACAAAGCAAAAACCTTTCCCAAACTTTACTCTTGCATAGTATCCCATAGGGCCTATGTGAAAAAATATATTATGACAATCTTAGGTTTTTACATGTTCCAATTGAGAATTTTACTGTTTGTTAAACATACTTTCACTGTCTGTCTTGATAATACAGTCAAAGGGAAGGGAAGGGAAAAAAGGCCTTAAATAAAAACAAAATTTTGTTTTTTCAAACAAAAGAGATTCATATGCTAAAATTTTTGAGAGTTCTTTACATAAACCAACATAATTCTTGACTCTTTCAAAAGTCAGGTCCATTTCACAATCTCGAATAAATGCATATGGTCACTTAATCCAACTAAAATTGCTCGCTCAGTGGAGTACTTCCTTCCCCTCAATAAACTCTAAATCATACCCTTAAACTTTAGTTATCGTCCAAAATAGAACAATGATGTTTTGCAAATTTTCAATCTACAGGCTTCTACATTCTATTTAAAAAAAGGAAACAGCTAAAACAAAGTGAATCAGTGGCTTATTTCGGGAAGTGATATACTTTATATAACTACTATTTTTATCATTTACTACACATTAAACAATTCAACAGGTTTCAATAACGCAAAACACTGAGGGATTGGCAGGTGTACTGGGATGCAGGTAATATCCCACTAAAACCATATGTTGAGTAACTTGACTGGGCCATAGAGGATATCTGCTATCATCTCCTCTGTATTACTACACTAGACCTTCATCTTAACGTATCTGGGTTTTGTGTAGCAATATGGATTTCATTCTACTGAAAGAAGTTTATAATAAAAACTGTCTTTTACTAGTCAAGTACTGTCTCAGCAACTGTGGGCAATTGCAATGACTATAATCCAAACCTGACCAGACAGAAAAGCAAGACAGAAAATCAGATCAACCATTGAACATAGTAAAAACAGCATTAAACCAGCTAGATTTTACTACCATTAACAGACTTAGTAAATACTAGTTGTGAAATGTAAGCAGAATGGAGAGGCCTGTTTTTCTGAACAACAATAATCAATTCTGATATTTACATATGCAAGTGACTAGGTTTCATTAATATAAAGTTTTCTCTGATACACACAAATATGGTGAAAAGCCACTAGCAAATAATCTGTTCTGCAAATGTGCCAAGCTCAGCTTCCCAGTGTTTCATCTTCTTTTATGCATGGTTAGCTCTAGTGAGAGCCTTTCTGCAGCAAGAGAAATGAGATCTCCTCCCTCCATGAATTTCTTGCTGAGTGCACACTACATCATCACTCATACAAACGCATGTTTTCCGCTCAAGCATTCTCATGAAATCTTTTTGGAATTCTCTTTCAAATTTGCTATCAAAAAGTTGTTTTCAGACACTACCAGGGAACAAAGACGGGTTCAATATAGCAGCCTTTGGAAATCAAACTAAACACAGCAGAGCAAACTATTCAAAACTAGCACTTAAGACACACTTTCCTGGTTCATCCTGGAGGGGGAAAAAAAAAATATCAGGAGGAACTTGCCTTGATAGTGTGCTTGAATGAATTATAGAAGAGATACCGAACTCTGTGTATAAATTACTCCTTTAATCCCCTTCTCTTTATTTTCCTGCTGTATTACCCAAATACCGTCATTATACATGACAAATAGCATGCTTTGAAATCAAATGCAATCGACACGTACATTAGAAGACTGAATGTACGCTCCTGAAAATTTAAGAAAAGTGGCCTTTTAAAAATGCAAAATAAGTTCTATCTTACAACTCTTCCTTCCTCTCCAAATCTTTAAAAACAAGATAAAAGACAATTTTATAAAAGAGATATTAAAAAGAAAATTTTAAATTTACAGTAGTGATTCATTCCTCCCCTTAATGGCAGTGAAGCTCAGTGCAGGAGAGCTATAAAAGACTGCCCATCCAAAGTAAACACAAAATCAGAGTTTTTATGACCTTTCTGCCACTAGCTCTTAAGTATTATTTAAATCTCCAAAAAGCCCAAAGAGGGGAAAACCCTACAACGTTGTAACAGAAAAAGGAACCCCTCAGCTAATAAGTGAGGACTAATGATTTGGTAGAATTGTTTCCAGGTGAAGTACACTGTCCTATGAAGAATAATGAATTCTCTTACAACAGACAGACACAAACTACCTACAGAACAGAGTGAAGCAATCATTTTTTTTTTTTTTTTTTAAAAATGCATGCTGTGGGAAGGCATTGCTAAATACCTTTACAACAACGAGCAAAGTTGGCTAAGATAGCCAACCATCAATCTACTTAATTTTCACAACAGGCTCTGCTTGCTTCATGCACAAACCACAGCTTTATCAAAGACACAGTTTACTACTATCCTGAATTGAGTAAAACTAAGAGTTATAACATTCGTATAGTTTTTCTAGGGAAAAAAGATACCTACATAATTGTTGCCAAGTTTAAACAAAGATGATTTGCCTTTTCTTTTTGTGTTAGGGCAGCTCTATGAAAATTATGCAAATAAACATTTTCAGTGGAACTAGCTTTCATGTTAAAAGTAAATTCCATGAGACAAAAAACAGAATAATGCAGAACTGAACAAGCTGACAATAACAGTTTCTCTTTTTTTTCCTGAGAATGCAATTTTATGACCTTTGCAACCAATATTATCAACATTTCCATGTATACTTGCAAGTCAAATGAAGTTGGCCAGTTCTATACGACCTCTTATTCTTTTAGTTTTAGGCTTCCTGTTGGAAACTTTAGGCCTCTAAGATACTGTTTTTAACGACAGCTTAAAAACATTATTAAACCACGATTCTGATGAATTTAAAAGATGACAATTGGAAATAAAAACAAAACACAAATTCTGCTAGGTTTATCAACGCAAGAAGAAAATACATAGGCGATAATGCTTAAAGTAGGAGGTAGAGTACTACAGCTTTTAAATTTGCAATGTAAGTGTGAATAGAGTTTACATCTACATAAAAATGCAATCATTTCTGTGACAGTAGTGTTAGGAGGACTCCAGCGAAGGCTGGGATTATATTGTGGTAGGTGTACTGCAATCACTTAGAGACAAATCTATTATGCTCTTAAGTAATTTCTAAACCAAATGGGAAAACCAAAGACAGCTAAAATAAGATAATCCCATTACACATAAGCAAAACAGAAACATACATACTTTGCTTGTCTGAAGCAACTGTGTTCCCTTGATGCTCCCTACAGTCCTCTTACTCTGATTACCCAGATCAGGAACTTGTCTAGATGGCAATATAGTTCCCTTGTAACTTGGGTGCTGCATTGTTTTTCCTCCATAGAAGCCCAGAAGTGACCTCGCCATACATATGAAAATTGAAGCTAGAAGGTGCTTGATCCTACAGTTCAGATATAGCCACTGTCTACAGATATGTCTCATCACACAGTAATTTTATATATTCAATTCCTTAGTTCTGCCAGAGAGTTCCGGCATTTCAATTACAGGCTTACCACAAAACCTTTCTTCCTGCTTTTTTTTTTTTTTTTTTAAGAAACTCACAACTTTGTTAAGAAGAAATTAAGATGACTATAAAAATTTGGAATAGTGAGTTTCTTTTCGTCACAAGGAAAACCCAGTTCTTTGTACAAGACACAAACCAGTTAAATACAGGCTCAGTTACACACAGATGGTGTAGACTCACTCAGCCATTAAGCACAGAGAGTATGACCTTTCCTGGACTGGATGAAACTGGCATTTCAGCTTAAGAACACGAGTGGATATATTCATTTTAGCAGAATTGACCAATGTCATCACCAATAACAGTAAAAAGTAGATTTGTCTTGCTTGGTAAGAGCCAACTAGATTACTTCGTAAACTGTGACCTCTTCTGCAGCTGGTTATGATTCTTGCTATCAAAGAAAATATGACCGGGGTGGGCGAGGAGGGGGTAAATCCATGACTTGACTTTAGTAGCTACATTTTTAAAATGTCTTTTTTTTTCTGCAGATCAAAAATGGATGCAACCTGTGTCACGTGCAAAACACACCCAAAGATACTCGTCCTACAATTTTATTTCTCCTCCTACTAAAGAAAGCAGACACCAGAAATTCTTCTGACTCACAGCTTGTCAAATACATACGGAAACCTATTCCCTGTACCTGTTGGCAAAAGTGAGGAGGAGGTGACTCTAAATACAGTATACAATTTCAGGTAATCATGTAACTACTCAGACATTTGTAACCCACCCCCCCCCCCCCCATCCCTCCCCAAGTATTTGGTTAGACTCTAGGTTTTTCCAATCACGTATAAAATCCTTTTATGGTAGGTGCTTTTGAATTTGGGTTTGGTTGGTTGGTTTCACAGAGATGTTAAAACCAGATATATTTCTATGAAAAGTTCATTATCATTCCTATTATTTAAAAAACAAAAAAAACAAAAAAACATAACCAGTCTTGCACTTCACCAGATTGTTTTTAAAATCATGCATTTAAAACAAAACAAAAAGCGTAATCTAATTTCTTATGCTGACAAGCCCTCATTTGCTTATTCTTTGCTTATTCCAGAGATTAACTGCAATGTAAAGAGAGAAAGGTGAGAAAAAAAATC